GGCTAGTCAGGCTTTCGGATCCCAGTGCTGTCAGCCAGCGGCTTGCCAGAGACAAGCTTCCAATGTGAAGCACGTTTTCCAGCGCGGCACCAGTGCGGCTGTCTCTGGGACAAAGCTTCTGAATCAATACTTAATGATCCTGTAAGGCGACACCTGCAAAGCCACTGGTTAAGCCGTTGGAATAAAACATGTCTCTAAGAACCATAGTACAAAACGGTTACTATTTAAAGGCTCAGAACACTGAAGCTGGCAAGTGTGCTGTCACAGAACCTTCTGGCTCTACCAGGCGACTCACCCAAGTACAATCGGACGGCTTCCAGAACTCCCATCAGGAACAGCAGCGTCAGATCCAGGACCAGGTAGTTACGAGGGTAGCCGAAAGCCTGACCTGAAGACACGGGCACAGACCGGAGCCCGTTACCTGCGGCCCCGCGGCCCTGCGGCCCAGGCGTCCAGCCCACCTCCCGCCTCACTCACTTTTATACACCATGAGCAGCAGCGTGGCCGGGAAATAAAGGGCGCAGCACGCACCACTGAGGTAGAGGAGCGCCTGAAGCGGCACGGAGGAGAGCTGGTGAGTGGTTAAGGACGCTCGCCAGACAGGACGGGCCGCTTCTGCCACCTGTCCGGGGGCCACGGACATGCAGGTCCAGTCCAGGGCAGATGGGCACCCCACCCGTGTGGGGGCCACGGAGACCCAGGCTGGGCGTTCATTGCTGTGCCTGCTCCTCTGTGGTCACGGGGGTGGGCAGGGCCCTCGTGGGCGTAAGGGACCCCACCCTGACAGGGGATCTGAGCTCCGCAGTGCAGGCCCCTGGGTGAGGGCAGGCAGACTAGGAGGGTGGTCTGTGCTGGTGTGTGTGTGGGGGAGGCCCTGGATCCAGTAGGAGTTAAAGAAAAGAATGACTTCCTCATTTTCTTCAGGGAAGGTGGTTTCCTTTTGTTTTGGGTAAACACCTGCTGTAGCCATCGCCTGACCTCTGCACACTGCAAATTCGTTTATGCTAAAAGAAGCCCCAGACTGTTCAAAGTGAGAGGTTTTCATCTTCCTGCCACTGGGGGTTGGATGGCAGATGGGGGTCATTCCTGCCTGGTCCTGGCGGCCCACTGAGCTTAGCCAGGATGGCAGAGCCCTCATGGGGGTCTGTGACAGCAGTAGGCCTGAGCAGGGGAAGTTCTGTCATCTCCCTAAGCCTGCCAGGGAGCACCCTCCCGCTGCAAGGCAGAACCGCCTATCAGAACTTTGTGTTAAAGGAACACAGAGGGATGGGGTCACTGGCAGGCTCTCCAGCCGGGCTGCAGAAGGATACCACCACGGACGAGCCTCTCCCTGGAAGAGAAAGGGTGCATCAGGGAGGCCCTGACATACTGAAGCAGCGACAGAAGTGTCCCCATTTCATTCTATAGATCTTAAAAAAATCTGCTAGAGGGTACATGTGCTAGCAGGAGACGAAAGCACCACGGGGTGTGGGCACGCAGCAGTCCCTTCTCGTCTCCCCCTCCTTCCAGGATTTTGGCCATTCGCAGTACCCAGCGCGTCTCCAGCTGCTGGGTCTCGGACAACCTCGCAGCGGGCCACGTGGGATCCAGCCGCCTGAACCACACCACCGGCTGGCCTGATCTGTTTACAGGAAGAAGCGCTTACGGTGGGCCTGATGCGAGGTGCTTCACCACCTCCACACCCGCCCTTGAAGGCGGGACAGCGGGACAGTCCGTGCCTCTCAGGACCCAAGGCTAGAAACAGCCTACTCCTGGGGTACAGGGTGGAGCGGGCCTGAATCCTGGATCTGACCTGGCTTCTGCATATTCGCCACATGTGTATGATAATGTCTTCTGATTTTTTTTTTTTTTGAGAGCTTTTTGCTATAGGGCATGTGTGCTTGCCAGAAAGGCAGAGAGAGACAGAGAGACAGAAAGCGAGAAATCACCCCCCAGGGGGGATGGCCACTCCGCAATCCCTTCTCCTCCATTCTTCTCTCAGGATTTTAGGTATGCATGCACACAAGCCTGGAGTGAGTTTTTTTAAGCTGTCGGTCCGGACTCGAACTGCAGTTGACTATGTGGCATAATGTAACCATTAAGCCATCTGTTGGTCCCAGTCCTGTCTTTTAAAAATCTAATCTCTTGCATCTTTTTCCACCTCTCTGCAGGTCTACACCTACCCTAGTCCTGAATGAGGGTAGCTCCAGAGGTATTCATGGAGCGTCTCCTTTTTTTTTTTTTAATAAAGAACAATTTTTGCCGTAGGGTGTGTGTACTCACCAGAGAGATAGAGTGAGAAATCACCCCCCAGGGAGGATGACCATGCTACAATCCCTTCTCCTCCATTCTCCTCTTGGGATTTTGGGCACGCACCACATGCACCCAGCATGAGTTTCAAGCTGCTGGTCTGGGACTCGAACTGTGGTCGGCCATGTGGGAGTCCAGCAACGTAACCATTATGCCACCTGTTGGCCCCAAGCTTCTTCCTTTGTTTCTGCATTTGAAGAGCCCTCCGACTCACTTAGATACAGGACATGACCTGGTCCCACTGCTTGTCTGAACTGAGGCCCACAATGGTTACACATCTGTTCACATATGTGCATGTCTCTGTATGTGTACAGACATCAACAAAAAGCCTCCTACAAAAGGCCTCAGCTATACTGCTGGGTAGCAAGCAGGGAAGTCCCCTAAACTCAAGTCTCTCTGTTCTTTTTCTATTCATTCATTCATACTACAGTGCACACGCACTCACCAGAGAGAGACAGAGAGACCCGCAGGGCAGTTGGCCATGCTGCAGTCCCTCTTCTCCATTCTGTCCTCTGGATTTTGGGCACGCATGCACATGCAAGGTGTGTTTTTCAAGCCCCCTGGGTTTGGATCTCAAATTGCACAGTCATGTGAGACTCCAGTGCCTAAACCTCCATGGCTCACTCTAGATCCCCTTAAAGAAACCCCTTGCCTTGGCACCAGCAGATGGCATAATGGCTACGTTGCTGGACTCCCATGTAGTTGACTGTGGTTCAAATCCCAGACCCGGTGGCTTAAACTCACACTGGGTGCATGTGCGTGTGTGCCCAAGATCCTGAGAGGAGAATGGAGGAGAAGGGATTGTGGCATGGCCATCCCCCGTGGGGGGTGATTTCTCACTTTCTGTCTCTGTGTCTTTCTGGTGAGTGCACGTGTCCTATAGCAAAAACCTCTCAAAAAAAACAAAACCAAAATAAAATAAAAACTCCTTGCTTTAGTGAGTTTTGCGGGAAAACCAAAATAAAACAAAAAACTCCTTGCTTTAGTGAGTTTTGCGGGTGATACCCTGACTTTTTTTTTTTTGGAGAGATTTTCACTGTAGGGCGTGTGTGCTCGCCAGACAGACAGAGAGAGACATAGAGACAGAAAGCGAGAAATCACCCCCCAGGGGGGATGGTCACGCCACAATCCCTTCTCCTCCATTCTCCTCTCGGGATCTTGTAAAACAAAAAACTCCTTGCTTTAGTGAGTTTTGCGGGTGATACCCTGACTTTTTTTTTTTTGGAGAGATTTTCACTGTAGGGCGTGTGTGCTCGCCAGACAGACAGAGAGAGACATAGAGACAGAAAGCGAGAAATCACCCCCCAGGGGGGATGGTCACGCCACAATCCCTTCTCCTCCATTCTCCTCTCGGGATCTTGGGCACGCACGCACACGCGCCCGGCGTGAGTTTTTTTTTAAGCCACCGGGTCCGGGACACGAACTGCGGTCGACTACGTGGGAGTCCAGCGACATAGCCATTACACTAACTGCTGGTTCCCGATACCCTGACTTTTGAAGCAGATCTGGGGCCCTCGACGTCTACCAGACAGCCCCGCAGTTTACCAGTCTTAAACTAGTAAACGCAGGACATCAGTAACCAGAGACTCACAGAGGTTTGGAGAGGGGCAATCGCCAGAGCAGGAAGCCAAGTGAGGGGTGAATGGAGCCGCGTCTCCTTACAGGCAGGGTGCACTCACTAAACCCGATCTGCTCTTTTCCGGCCCAGCTAAACCAGGCTAAGGTGACACCTGTCGTTATTTCTGGGCCGACTTCATGTTAATTAGGGTTTTCCTTCCTCCTGATCCTTCCCCATTTCAAAGGTAACAGCCGGCTGCCCAGTGTTACAGATTGAAATTGTGAGGCTTGGGAAAAATAATGAAAAACCTTAAGTGATATATTGCATCTAAATAATTACTGTGAAGGGCAGCTGTCATCGGATATGCTGTTCTAACAATTCCAGACGGACAGCTCACTCTGAATGAATGCCAGTTGGCTTTTAGGACTTTTTTTTTTTTTTTTTTTTTGCCAGATTACAACGGGTCTTCGAACAGGTATGCTGGACAGAGGTTAAATGTGGGAGTGAAGAGAACCGTCTTCCCTGCTGTGATAGACAGGGCATGTGCAGACCGTGTTCTGGTATAAACTTCATTTTCACCAAAAGAAAACACATTAACCTATTTAGCAGAGCACTTCCACAAAGAGTTGGCCACTTCGAACCTGCCTGTCAAGAGCACAGTGACTTAGCTACCGCTGCCAACTGCTTCCCCCGAGGATAACCAATTACTGTCCCTTCCTCGTTCTCTCCGCAGAAATCATCTGCCTATGACAGCTGAGGTAAGAGTATCGGGACTTTAAAACTTGACCAAGTGAGTGCTGAAATATTAAAACAGGCAATAATACCATGGGTCTAGTAACACAGCCCCCATCCCACAAAACTTGTGTGCAGGGGAATAAAAGCTGTGACAGACCCAGTGGTCAGGACTTTCATGAGGCCCATCAGCCTGTGCCTGGTGACCCGAGCACATGTCTCGCACCCAGAACCCGTTTACAGTGTGAATGAAGCACACATGCGATCTCTTCCATGAACAAAACATTTGGGGGAACTGATGGAAACGCACGGGCTGGCCGAGACCAAGCACCAGTGTCCCAGACGCGACCCTGCAGGGGTGTGTCGGGTGTAGCCCTCCCCACCCTCCAGCGGCTTCAGGTACCCTTCCACCGCCTCCTTCCCGACTTGGCTCACAACCTTCCGGGGAGGATGTGGGGCAGGACCAGCACACACTGCCCTGAGACGGCGAATTCTGCCACGGGCAATTCCGCTCCTAGGTGTGCCCACCGGAAATGAAGGCGTAGCCACGCGCTTGCCCAGCCCA